TGTATGCTGAGCAAATAATCCAAGAGGCTAGCCAGCCACTCCTCGGAAGGAAGGTTGGGCAATCCTACTTCCGTAGTGATACTGCCTTGGAAACCCAAGGAGGGGTCACTATGAGTCGGGTTTGACTTGACCGCACATAACAACAACAGCATTCTTTTCCTTCCAGGAGTTTTAAGAGTAGCCTCCAGGGAGAGTGCCTGGGTACTTAAGTGTCTAATGCAGATGTATGGTTCAAGTGAAGGAGAATTCCGACCAAGTAGGAAGAATGAGGAAGCCAGAATAAAGGACCTTTGGGACCTTACATAGTCTTCATATTAAGCTCCTGACTAGGGCTTCTTGTTACCTCCTCTGTTTGCTTTGGTGCCAGTAAGAATGCCAGGAATGCATAGTTTCTTTCTATACAGTACGAAAAACAGTAGATTGTGAGAGTTGAGGATTTTGTCCATCTCTTGATTTAGAACAATTACAATATCTACAAAGTTTTGAAACAGTATTTAAAGTTTATCTATTCCACTTCCTTTCTGCCCACAATATTACCCTTTCAGCTTTAAACAAATGTAACTCGAGAGATCAAGCCAAAATTCCTGAAAAAGAGAAAAATCTGTTCTGAAAGCTTTTATTCCTAACCAATTGCCAGTCTGGCACTAAACCAAAAGATTTTGAAATATACAGCAAACGATAAACGTAAGGTAAGCATACACACAGCACAAGTTTCCTCTTAGAGAAAAACCAGGTATAACACTAATCCAATAGTTTGGAAAAACATCATTTCTTCTTTTCCCAAAGAGAAAAAGAAATGCAAGTACTCACAGTGTCATGAGACTTATCCTTGACATCATAGACTGTTAGTTTTATTTTGGTCTCCTCATAGATGGGGTACTCAGATGGGAATGTGACACCAGTCAGAAACAGTGGGTCTCTTGTTCCCTGTAACAGCACAAGCAGACAGCTTTGATTCAATAAGGCAGCAACTGCCGTTGGCAGCAGGCAATGACACATGAGAATGCAGAGAGTGTGTCTGTGCCTGTTTGTTTTTCTAGGAAATAGTTCCATTAGAAGAGAGATCTGCACTGTCAAATGATGCTCATGGGCAACAACATGGCCCAAGGCCCCAAACTCCCGATGTAGCTGTTGATAGTAAAAGACCCTGCACCATTGTCAGAGCTGCTAATAGTGAGTCTTGAAAATCAGTTTATTTTCATTACATGGCAGAACCTATCTTATGAGTCTGTTGTCAGTCCATTTAGAATACACTGAATGGATACAATCTGTAATTTATGCAAATAATCTAAGATATTGACTGATCAAATTAAAATGAAGCTATTTTCTCAAAAAGAGCCATTTGGTAATCTTATGCTCCCCATTTATTTCCATTCTGTAATGACTCGGGGTTTGAAAGCCATGCTCTGATAGTGTCCATTTGTTTTTAGTTGGTCAGATGTGATTTCTTCCCAGACTTGAACACTAACGGAAGAAACTCCAAAGATGATGGATTTGGGGCTATTAAATTACTAGTTTAGAATGCAGTGCACAGGATATCTCAATGCCTCGGGATTCATTTTTAAAGAGCTGACAGCCAACATTAATTTATATGTGTGTGTGTGTGTATGTGTGTGTGTGTACAGATAGAGGGAGAGAGAGAGATTACTGAATATCACAGGAACATTTCCTAGAGTTCTACAAACCAGTTGCCTATGGAAATTTCTTAAAGTCCAAATTAATCATTCATTCATTCCTTTATTTAACAAATACTATCTTTTGCCCAGCACCACATTAGACTCTTTGGAACAGGCAGTGAAGAAAACATTGAAAAATAGCAATATATGTACAAATATAAGATTTTAAACTGTGCCAAAATAAATAGCTTCTAAGTGTTTGGCAATATAAAAATATTTCACTTGAAATAATATTTGAAGATTTTTTTAAAATATAAAATCAGCTAACAATTTTGCAATTTCAGTCAAGGTTTCTTCATATGACTAGGACTATTTTGTTACCTCAATTACAGGATGAACATGCATTGTACCAGCATCGAAACCTAAAGTTTCCAAAGGGCAAGTTCAAGGCTACATGCAGTATCTGGGTCATTTCCCATTATAGAAATGAGTCTAGTGAGTTCAGTCTGAATCATTTATTCCACCAACTGCATCAAGGCAGGCAACTGGCACTAAGTAAGCTGGGTCTAGGGTGGGTTACTATGTTCTTACAGAGCAGCTCCTTATTCAAAACAGACACAGCTCACAAGTCTAAGAAAAACAAGCAAATCTTAAGGAGTTCGGAGTATACCTTCTTCAACTCCAGATGTTCAAATAAGCACCTCTCATTCATTAGGTTGTGAAATATATGTGATCAGAGCAAAATAATCAAAAGGGAAACACTTCCTCTTTTGAACGTGATCCAACACAATAACAAGTTTCCTCCTAACACATTTCAAGGTTATATTAGTAACAATAAATGTAAATAGGAAATCACTCATCTGATGAGTAATATTTACACCTTTGCCTAGAAACATTAGTTTCTCAAATAAATCATATACCTTTCTTTGGAAAATGTCATACATCAAAAAGACACAGACTGAAAAATAAAAGGAAAAAAATTAAAAAAAGGGAAAGGCACTTAACATGTTCAAAACTTCTCATGGTACTTTACAACTTTTTTTTCCCCCAAAAGTGTAATCATGTCATTTAATCTAAAATCAATGTTTTATTGTTGTCTCTACTCCTTGCTCTATTTGGGGGTTCAAAGTGGCAACTTTTCTTCCTTTCTACAAAAGAAAAACAAGGCCTTTTGTGACAAAGGCAAATTCTTTCCATTTGTTTATTCTGGTAGGTTGCCAATGCATGCTTAATAACCTCAGGTATGCTTTCCTTAATGACGGATAACAATAACATAGTATTGTTACAGACCTTGACCTAACTTATTTCAGCTGTTTGTTCCAAACCAGAGACAGGGAGAGACAGAGTGAGTAATGCAGGCACACAGCATGAGGGCTCACCTCCACAATTTCCGTGCTTGAGTATCTTGTCAGACTCTGCTCGGCGGGGTGAATTACTGAGATCTGTACCAGTGTATTCAGCTTCCGATCACGGACAGGAGCCACAAGATCCTTGCATGCTGGCGACGGGAGAGGAAAGAGAAAGAAAAGAAACTAACCACATATCTCAGAGAAACTTCGTCCCGGTTGGAGGTAAACTTCTCTATGGAGCTGAATGAAATCTCCTGGGACTAGAGCTGATTTTACAGAGGAAGTCTCTTGGAAGTACCTTACAGAAATAGGAAGTCACGTGCTGCCAAGCTGAATTGAGAGTTCATTTCCACTGACCACATTTGCAGCTCATGCAAGTCTTGCCTACCAGGGATCCCAGCTCTAATATATGACTACACACATACCTCTGAGGACTTCAGTGACTGGGGCTAACTTCACAGCTGTCACTTTGGCTTTCTGCGAATTACTCATTAAACGCTGGGCTTCAATTCATACTCATTGACTAAGTGGGTTGATTTGAACCCTATCTGGAAACTTGAGGCTATTCCTTATTAATCCTGGCTGAATGAGCTCAAATGTTCAAACGTGCATTCGGTTCTGCTCTAGTCTATTCCATACAGCTGGCCTCTTACAGACAAAATTATAGACAGAAACTGGAAAGAGCATTTACCTTAGCACAGCAATACACAGGTATGTGAAAATGAATCAGAAGAATGAGTGAAAAAGCCCTCTGCCTGAGATCCAAACCAAGTCTGTAATCTGGGATATGAATGGGTTAAGTCTTGTCCAGGAGGCACAAGAGGAAGAACCATCCCTTCAGACACCAAGCTCATATTACAGACTCTCCACAATACCATATTTACTTGAATATTTTCTCCTCTCACATATCATTCCACCAATTTGGGGAGAAAAAAAAAAAACAGAAAAATATTCCTTTCAGCAAATCCAACATTTTCTCTCTTCACTACATTTCACTCCCTGCTTTAAAATATAATTTAACTACCCATAGATGGGTTGCTAAGTGTGATGTGCAGTGTCTTCACCAAAGGGGTGTTCAAGTTAGGATTCAGCTGATGACTTGCTTCAGGTTAGAACTATGGATGGGGAAACAGACTTAGTTGGGTGTGCAGCCTCCAAGCCTCTCCCATTCTCTTCCTTGGTCTTGGTTATCACGGTGAAAATGTGCAAGGATCTATATCATCCCTACCCCATGTTTTTGACCATTGCAGGAAGGGAGGAGAGGATGGGTTTTTGTACACTGTACTGTGGAACTGTGGAAGAAGTTTACAGAGCCCTTATCCACTGGGTCAAAGGTACTAAGTCTTAAATCAGAAACTTGAAAGCAAAGGAAATTATAAACCCAATTACCACCTTTTAATCACTTGCAAATCATCTCATTTATCAAAAGGAACAGAATGAGATAGAAGAAAAAGCAGGAGCTTTGGAATGAAACATGACTGGTTTAATTCCAATTCTATCAGCTGAGCAAACTTGGAAAAATGATTTAACTTCTTTTCACTTCAGTTTCCTCCCCAGTAAGGTAGGGTCAGAGGGCCCACCTTAAAAGGTTACTGTGAAGATCCTTAGGTTGGGGCAGGTCTATATCTGCATCTAGTGCTTAAGTATCCAGTCAACATTACTTATCAACCTACTTCTTTTTTCTTATGGGATATGAATGTGTTACCAAAAATCATGATAATTTTCACAAATTGAAATGATGATACCAAAATGATGATAATGTTCACATTTCTATTTAGAGATTTCTAAATGAAAAATAAAACTGTTAGAATTCTTTACAGATAACTAAACCATATTCCTAAAGCTAAATATCAAACCATTCCTTGTCCTCAGGGAAAATGAAGATCAGCTTAATCTTCTGTGTACTAACATTCATGTAGATATTATTATATTAAAAAACAAAACAAAACAAAAAAACTCTTATGCTTCTCTTCTTCTGAATGATCCCAATTGTACTATTCAAATCTTAAAGTATTGTGTGGCTCTGTGCTAAGCCACTTCTAAGACCTGTTCACCTTTATTAACAGTGACACTCAGACACTGAGCTTCACTTAGAGCAGCTAGAATGGCATAATTGTCACATTGTTCTAACACTCTCAGCAAAGAAAAGAGGTAGGGGCTTCATAATTAGCAAAATTCTACAAGTGATCATGTACTACAACTTATTGCTAAAACTGTGTTTTTGTAATGGAAGATATAGTTCGTCTCAATATATGGTGCTTGTCAAACTTTTGAGATACCTTGCGCCTATATGGCATTTTATCATAATTTGTCTTTATTCAAACTACATGCCTTCAGCAATCCAGGGGAGCTTTGGAAAGTGTGTGTGGAAAAAATAGTATGTTGTTGTTGTTGTTGTTTGCCATCGAGTCGGCCCCGACTCATAGCGACCCCTCCTTGGGTTTCCGAGGCAGTATCACTACGGAAGTAGGAATGCCCAACCTTCCTTCTGAGGAGTGGCTGGTGGGTTTGAACCCGCCAGCCTTCTGGTTAGCAGTCAAGTGCCTTAGCCACTATGCTACCAGAGCTCCTCATTATTTTTGAGGTATTTTGCTAATTATCTCTTTATTCCTCGAAATATTATGATTTCAATTTTACATGTTAAGAACTGAAGGTTTAGAAACATTAAGTGCTCCCAATTATGACAACTCTCAGGTAGCTTACATCATACCTCATTAGCTTCATTTCATTTTTTGGGCTACTTGACTTGCTCCCTGCACAATGGCATCTCTCTTTGGAAAACCCACTGCCATGTTCCTGTATCACTCAATCCAAGAGATCTACAGTTTTAGAAAAATACCGATGCAAGATTTCAATAATGTGAAATATGACTGGAAGGAAAAAAAGCTACATTCAGATAAATAGTGGTTATATTAATCATTTCCTTTACTTGCCTTAAGGACGGTTTAATTTTATCACTCAATCTCTTGGTTTTCTGTTCAGTCAACAGCTTTTTTAGTGATACTGATGTATGTCTGTCTTTTGATTTCCAAACTGAGGCCACTGTGTTTCGAATACATGTATCTTGTACTTTTTCAGTTTGTAGTCTCATCTCTACCTTATGGCTCATGGCACCTTTGCTCAAAATAACTCACTTCTTTTCTGATTCCTTATCAGGCTTCACTGTGAGCTACAATTATTTCCCAGCAGTGTGTAGCTGTTGCCCTTTCCTCAGAGAAACTCTTAGACTCTGTCCCAATAAGGACAGAGAAATCTCTATTAAACTAAAATGTTCTATCTAACTGAATTTGTAGATTCCCATTACTGATAACATAAAAACAATAATAATGATGCTTTGCACTTCAGTAATTTTATACATAAAAAAGTACATAGATGTCAACAACAAAAAAAGTTACATGTTGAGCTACATATGCCTCTCTTCTTCCCCAAAGCCCAAAGCATCTTCTGTTCCCTACAAGCCCTGGTGGCACAATGATTAAGCGACTGGCTGCTAACTAAACAGTTGGCAGTTTGAATTCATCAGCAGGTGCTTGGGAGAAAAGACAAGGTGATCTGCTCTCATAAAGATTATTGTTGTTGTTATATGCCGTTGAGTCAGACCCGACTCATAGTGACCCCTCCTTGGGTTTCCGAGGTAGTATCACTATGGAAGTAGATTGCCCCATCTTCCTCCGGAGGAGTGGTTGGTAGGTTTGAACCTCCAGACTTCTGGTTAGCAGTCAAGTGCTAGCCACTATGCTACCAGAGCTCCCCATAAAGATTATAGCCTTGGACACCCTATAGGGTCTTTCCTCTCTGTCAGATAGGGTTACTATGAATAGGAATTGACTCAATGGCACACTAAAACAACAGTACTTATGTAACAAGATGTCATGGAAGGACCCTGAAATTAGTCAAAATTCCTCATGTGTAGTCCAGATTACCTGCTCTCTAGTTATGTGACTTTGAGTAAGTCATAAACTCTCAGACATTCAATTTCTGCATCTGTCTACCCACTTCTCAAGGTGAAGATGAAGATGAAATCAGGCCATTTCCTTTTCTTTATTCATTTTCTTGCACACAAATTATTTTTATTTTGTTTTTAAATTTTTATTGTAATTTGGGTCAAAGTGTACAGAGCAAATTCATTTTCTGTACAGCAGTTCATACACATTTCTTTCATGACATTGACTGCAATTCCCCACAATGCAACAGCTCTCTTCTCACTTCCTCCCTGTAGTTACCACCTTGCTGTGTCCTTCTTTCCTATGCATTCCTGCTCCCAGAGCTATTTCCCTGTGCAAATACTGCTCTTCTGTATTCCCAGGATTGATCATTCTAAGGTGTTCTCTACCTGATGTAAATGTTCACCCTATGTGCCCAACTATTATTTGGCTGGAAGCCATGGGAGTGAGTTCAAGTCCATACCCAAAGGATATTAGGGGCCATATTCTAGGGGGTCTCATCAGACTCTATCAGACCAGTAAACCTGCTCTTTTTTTTTTTTTCTTTTCATAATTTTGAGTTTTGTTCCACATTTTTCTCCCACTGTGTTCTGGATTTTCCTTTCCCAATGGTTGACAGTAGTAGCTGGGTGCCATCTAGTTCCTCTAGTCTCATGGTCTCATACACTTTGGTTTGTATAGTCCACTAATCCCTTGGACTAATTCTTTCCATGTATCTTGTTTTTCTTCATTCATTGTTCTTCTTTCCTCTGGAAAGAGAAACTCATTGTTGCATCTAGATGGCCACTTGCAAGCTTTTAAGACCTCAGTCACTACTCACCCAACTGGGATGTAGAACAATGTTTTTGTACAATATATTATGACAATTGAGCTTGATGTTCCCTGTGACCATGATCTCAAGCCCACAGATCCAACTACTTGCTCCCTCAGAGTGGTTGGCTATGCGTAAGAAGTTATCATGAAATTAGGCCATTTTCAAGAAGGGATTTTTCTATGCAAAAATAATGTTTAATGATATCATTATACTAACATTTACCATTACTAATACCAATATTAACTAATATTTGGACTTTCATCATTCTGTAAAGTATCATTTATTGCTTCAGTCATAGTCAGGCAGCTCCCTGAAGGCCATCAGCAGGTCCAGTACTTCTGTGTAAACAGCAAACCAGTACATGCATTTCATAAAGTGAAACCTGTACACA